TATCACAGCGTCACTGTATTTGCTGTGAGATGTTGTTAAGGTTGGGCTCCCTGCATCACTTAATTTCTTCCCAGGAGGGGCCATGGAGAAATTTCTCTTAGGCTAAGAACCTCTACTCCTAAGTAACGGACTTGTTTTCATCTTATGGGCACTTTAATCAGGACTCTTGCGGATACCAAAATCTGAGGATGCTCAAGTCTCCCATATAGAATGGTGTAGTATTTGCACATAATCTACACATATCTCCCTGCATGCTCTAAAGCATCTTTGTTACTTATAATGACTAATAAAATGTAAATGCCATGTAAATACAGATGCTCTCGACATACTGTAAAGTTGAAAAATCGTTAAGTTGAACCATTGTAAGTCAGGGACCATATGTGGCTGTTACACTGTATTTTTTAAAAAATATTTTTGATCTGAGGTTGGTTGAACATGGAGATGCAGAACCCATGGATACCAAGAGCCAAATGTACTTCCGTCTCGATGTTGGCTACGAGGAAGCTCAGAGGTAATTTTTTCTCCATTAGTCCTAGGAAATCTAAAAGAACTTGGGCATGTGGAAGGCCACTAACCAGACCTCTGCCCTCGTCTTTCCCTGTCTCCTCACTTTCCCTTCACTCCGATTTCCTCACTTATAGGTAAAATACTGCTTTTAAAAATATGCAAAAGGCTTCAGCTTACTTTTTTGGACTAAGGTAGAACCTAAATGTAATGGACTCAGAATGACTGTTTCTATAGAGCCCCAGGATAGTGACATAATATTTTAAGAGTAAAAGGTTACTTTGACTGCTGTGCTTCGCCCATATTGGTGCTCAGCTTTTTAGAACAAATTGGAGGAGGCCTGGCTCAGTGGCTCATGCCTGTAATCCTAGCACTCTGGGAGAATGAGGTAGGAGGATCACTTGAGGTCAGGAGTTCGAGACCAGCCTGAGCAAGAGATCCCATCTCTACAAAAAATAGAAAAATTACCTGGGCGTGGTGGCGCGTGACTGTAGTCCCAGCTACTCAGGAGGCTGAGGCAGGAGGATTGCTTGAGCCTAGGAATTTGAAGTTCCAGTGAACTGTGATGATGCCACTGCACTCATGTCTGGATAAAAATGGGAGACCTTGTCTCAAAAAAAAAAAAAAAAAAAAAAAAGAAAAAAGAAAAGAAAAACCCAAAACCTCACTTCCCCCCACTCCGTGCCTTTTTGAGCTTAAAAATTTGTTTTGTGTCTTTCTTAGGTAGTATTAACAGCTTCCTCGGATATATGTTTTATATTTAAAGTGATGCCGTATTTGCTAATTTTCCTTTCCTGTTTCTTTCTGGGGAGACAGGTGAGTTAGCTTGAACATACACATCTACCCTTTAAGTAAAGAAACGTGACCATGAATGAACACCCTTTCTGTGAAGCAGCAGCCGGTTCCTTCTCTGGTTTCCAGGCCCGGTTTCTCCAGGGGAGCAATGTTAATGGGCCGAATGGCCAAAGCCTTTCATGCGATGGATGACAATACTTGGAGCTGTGTGCGACTCTTGTGCCGATGGTGCAGCCTCCGTGGAGTCCCTGCCAGCCCTCTGACAGCCTTCGGCTTCTCATCCAGAACCCTGCCTGTCCTACGAAGTGAGCACAGTTCTTGACTCAAAACCCAATCTCATCAGACGAGGTCTGTTCCTATTGTGCCATATCTGGGCTAATGACATGATCGAGTCCCCCACCAGGCCATTTCTAAAACAGGAATGAGTGACTTGGAGGATACAGGAGTATTCTTAAGATATCTTAGAAGGCAAGAGGGCCCACCTCTTACGTCATTGTCACTTTTTCCACTCTTTCCCTCTTTCCTTCAGAAGGAAAACTACATTGCAGGGCTCTCACTGACATGGAGCTACTAGGAGAATTAACCAGGGGGCTGAAGCCTGCAGAGGTGCAGTTTTGACAGACACAACTGTTCGGGATCCCTCATTCTAGATTGGCCATAAGGTTAGCCCATTAAGCGCATGCATATTGGGTTTAGGGGCACTTCTATACATAAATTCACTTTTTTTTTTTTCCACTTTGAAGAATGTAGCACAGTCATGCAAGAAAATAGGACAGGTATTCACAGCATCCCGGAAACAAGTCTGGGGAACAGAACATCGCGGTGAAGGATACTAGATCATGACAATCATTCTCTTCTTAGGAGCTAAACGAGGCTACTTCACAATGTTATGTGTTGAGCGTATAGCTATGTGGGCCAAGGTACTATTTTAAAGTCTTTTGGAAACTGGCTATTATGTAGCAAAATCGTGTGCTCCAACTAGGAGTTATCTACACTGTAGAGCCTTTGCTTAGAAAAAAATGGTGGTGATACAACATGTTGATTAATTTCTACCATTATGTTCTCAGAAGAAACAAATTCTTATATCTGAGTCCTTTTATAATAGATCGACTGTGGGTATTACAAATATAATCATCCACTCTGTGCCTATTAAATCTTTGGTTTAAAAGGAATGTTTCTCATCCTGAAGTAAAAGTTGTCTGAATTTTTAAGAAAGTAAAACTGAACAAAACCTTGGATGTCGTGGTGATGATGTCTTAGGTATGACTGAGCAGCATCTTGTGATATTTCAAAACCAGTAGCAAGAAAAACTGAAAATGTTCTGAGGTAAAATTCTTATTTTCCTTCCCTGAACTTTTTTTTTTTTTAACCTCAAATGACCCTGAGCTTATTTTGACACTGCTTAGCCTAGAAGAGCCTAACATTAAACTGATTTTCTGTGGTCTTTTTCTTAAAGATATTTCAAGCTCATAAAAAACTGTCCCATTAGTAGGAGGTCACACTTCAGCCATATAATAAATATATCAGATTGGAAGAGAGCATCTTAGTAGTAAGCTATGAATTTGAGTCAGAAGAAGATTCTAAACACATTTATGAGAACTTTTTATTACTTTCTAATTTCTAAAGCTAATTCTAATTTCATTTACACTGCCAGATTTGATCAAAACATTTTTTGTGAATAAGATAAACATATCTTTACCAATTTTATTTTAAACAGATGACCTTTAAGAACAAAAAAAAATACCATAGTGTCTAGATATGAGGGATGTTTGCTACAAAGGAAATGTGTACTTAACTTTTATTCTCTGGAAAAGAACACATTTAGGTATTGGGCTCATTCCCACTGCAAATCATAAATTCAAAGGCACATTAATATGTCATTACCCTTTAAAAATACTTAATTTACCCCCAGTCTTGATAAAAATGCTACTAAATATCACAAGAAACCTGTTTAAGAAATTAAAACTTGGCAAGCTAAAAAGTTCTAGCATTTTTTTCTTCAGTGGAATGAAAGAAAAAGGCATTCAACAAATTAACTTCAGCTGGGCCTTCCACTTTGCCTACACTCCCCAACCCAACACGGAAGCAAGCACAGCTCACCAAATGCACCTTCTGAACATGCCTAATCTGTACAAGACATGGGGTCCGGGTCAGAGCTTGGGGAATCTGCCCTGGGGGAGTCTTGTGAGCTGCGTGTCACATGAGGATCCTCCATGTATTGTTGCATTTTCTCTTCAGCTTTGCTTTCCTTAAGGCAAATAAAGCCAGAGCTCTTCTAATGAACAGAGAACATCTTTTATACGTTCCTAGTTCAGCAAGACGGAAGGTGTTAGACATTCAGGAAGAAGCTCTGATGCAACAACACTAGTGCTGTTTGGCAGCATTTCCTAAGTGCTGAGAAATTGGGTCAGTAACGTTTACTAGAGATAGCCGCCTACTAATGATCATGGTAGCTGTGTTCTAGCAGTTAAAAGGAAAAATAAGAGGTCAGAAACTAAGGGGGGGTGTTTTAGAGAATTGGCATTTTATAACTCAAATTTAGTAGAATTTCATTAACCTTTTTGGGGGGGTTGGGTTTCTGGATTCAGGAGCCTAGCCATAATACCAGCAGCAACATATTGCATTTTTAGAGATGATGTTAGATTTCACACAATAGAACAAGCGTGCTATTTCACCACGTTTGAGCCATCAGCGACAGGTCTACTGGAGTCCAACAGTGTGCTTTTTAGGTAAGATGAATCACATGTATTTTCAATGATTTGTGCAAAAATGTCTAAGTGGAGGATCTAGTGTTTAAAGCCCCAGGGTTGGTAAATTCAATGGAAAACACAAGCGTGCTCCGAGTATGAGATTTCACAGCGCAGGTGATGGCGCATAGACCTCCCAAAAGTGCCCGGGTGGGGTGGAAGGGTGGTCAATGTGGTCTTCTGTTATTTTCCTGCTTATCTTAATAGAAAAGTGCATACAGGCGAATAAATGGAAAATAGTTGCCAAAGGACAGCAGAGAAACAAAACTGGCCTCTAGGTGGTGCTTGAAAGCAGTTTAGGGAAGGCTGGCACCCTCCCGGGTTAACAGGGAATATATTGGATGAACCTCAGTGACCTGCAGGCTCCAGGGTAATGTCTTTGTCCTACTGCTACCTGTTCTGTAGTCTCCACAGGTGGCACAATGGGCCAGTTTCAATACATTTCTTTTTTCATAGACTCCTGTGCTTGTTTTGTATTCCACTTATAGCTTATGTTGATAAAGCATCACCGTTGAAAGTCAACAAAGGGGTGAAACACACTCAAACAGCTTTGCCAGTCAGGACCTTCTGTCACTAAGCTTTACTAAGAAACATCTGCCTGCTTCTCCCAGGTTCCTATCCGCCCTGCACTGCTGTGTCCAGATGGAGTGAGTGACCCATTTTGTTTGCTTACAAGTAGAATGTTTCCCAAGGCAATGTTTTATCTATGATTATTATTTGGTAAAATTTTTAAAAGGTGTTATAGCTGCTATATTTGATATCAAATATTTAACACTAATTCCTGTTGAAATATCTGCCATTAATAAAAACAAAGACACCCCCCTCTCCCCGTGTAAACCATAATAAAATGTGGGTGGATGAGTGAATCCATGCAAATCTCCTATTCACGCTCATATGCTCACTGAAAAGGGAAACTTTAGCACAACAATTTAAGAATCTATAGATCCAGGCCGATTTTAACATATGCTTTTTTTTATTAAATATGTAAAAAGGTCAACGCAAGTCAAGTTATTCACATATTCAGAGACAAAATACTATTCTACCATGCAACAATAGGTGGGTAATGTAAAATGAATGTGATACATCTGAATAAGACTTTTTCATCTATTATGTCATTACTTATCTATATTTATAATTAACAATACATATGTTTACATTCCTTTCAGTTTACATTTAATATATAACAAAAGCTTTATGGTGTACTATTTAGTAAAAGTAATCTGAATACATATTAAACCTTAACGGAATAATGAAAATACTCACCAGGGAAGGAATTCTTGGTTCCCTTCTGGAGTTTACTTCTCTCGGGTCAACAGAGTGTTTGTCTTTTTTTTTTCCTGCTTTTCTGCTTAGAATAAACATGGGCTTTCTCTTTGCCCCCTGCTTCGATCACTTCCTATCTGATGGTAGCAGTGGAAGTGCTATAACCGGCCAGTAGTGGGCATGGGGGGGGGGGAAACAAGGATGAAACTGGGCTTCCTGAGAGGGGGGAGCAGAACACACACCCAGGGACACTTCTCAGCCCAGCCCGGTGATGTGTGACCAGGGGCCACAGGGGAAAGTGTGCCCCGAATGCTGAGATGAGAGAGCGATGGGGTCCTACCATTATGGGGAGTGAGTGGTCATCTGCACAGAGCCCGAGAGGACTGACTCAGAAACTCAAATGTTAGAGATTCCCCAAAGCAGCTGTGACATCCTCTGGGGTACAGCACAACAGAAGATGTGTAAGATGGGGACAGAAAGAGGAATTAACAGCTCTTCTCTAAGTACATGAATAGTCTGCCCAAGCCTTCAGGAAGAATGGAGTATGGTGACCAGGGAAAGTTCTCTTTGCAGGTTAAGAGATCTGGCCAGAGGGTTTATGATTGAGAAGGTTGGGGAGCTGGACAGAGATGGAGTGGTTCCAGCAAGAGTCATCGGGGAGGCTTATGTGAGTTATACAGTATTAAGCGGTTTCTGGGAGAAGACAGGATCTTGACTCCCTGCTACTCATCCATGGGCGTCCACATGGCAGGAGTATGACTGAAATGTCCAGAGCAGGTAAAGAATGGCCTTAGAAACCACTGAAGCGTCATTGGCATGGAATTATTTATTGTGACCTCTTTATAAGAGCTATTCTTTTAAAAAAGAAAATTTGTGAGTACAACAGGCTCGGGAGGGCAACACACCACGAAGCATGATGCTACGTATAGCACAGCCACTACCTGTGACCAGGAGTGGGAGGATGTCACTGCTGAGAGCTAGGCTGTCCAGCCTTAGAGAAATGAGCTGCCGCTGTAATGCAGAGTGAGCAGGAGAGAGAAGAAAGGGAAACCAAATACCACGGAAAATCCGTCCAATTCCGCACAGTGTGTTGCAATAATCTCAAAAATACAAGCCATCTTTTCCACATATAACTTAATAAATACCACCTTGCTGCAAAAGATTTATTTTGGAAAGACTTCTTTTGGTGAAAAGCTTCGATGCCAGAATTTAGAATTAGTATTTCATCCATTAATAAAGAAATTTCAAAGCTTTATGATACATAATTCAGAAATTTATTTTAAGCTTTTCAGTTAAGCGGAAAGTGGGGTGGGCACATTTGTTTCTTGTTTTTGTTGCACCTGCTAAGTCAAATAACAAGTGAAAGTAAATCTAAAGTCAGAAACCAACTGAATAGAATGATCCGGGAAGGGAAACCATCTGTCATAGGAAAACAAAAAAAAATACAAAGATTTGGAAAGAGACTAAGAAAATGTGCAAATATTAGTTAAAAAAATAAGGAATGCCTTTAATTCATTAATGTTTCTCCTATTTATGAATTGCCATGGTTTAGCAAAAGGTCAATGACAAGGAGGGCCCTTGTGTTAAAGAGGGGAAATTCCTTATTCCGGAAGATACTGGGAGTCATAGGTTTTTCTGTGCTGTTACTTCAGTGTCAACACCGGACTGCAGGACTCTGGTTCTCCCTTGGAATTATGCTCCTATTAATAAGGTCTTTACTTCCAGCCTTCTAGCAAGCGTGCAGCCTGACACAGAACCCTGGAGCTCGGAACTGCATACCCTGGAGCTATCTTTTAGTAGGAGTCCCCTAATGTGAATGACAGTTTTGGGGCTGAAACCCACATGAGGAAGAGGGACAAGGCAGGAAGATCTATACCTATCCAGACCCCCTTTGGACTGCAGATGACTGATGACAACATCTTGGGGAGAGTGGCTGCCCACCAAAGAGGACCCTGAGAAAGAAAACAGCATGAGAACCTGGGGTGGGGGTGGGGGGCAGGGGCACAGGGTGAGGGGACAAATCTGAGATGGTGTTTTCCTTGAGTGAATGTCTTTCGAAACTAACAACATACTGTGTGGTTGTCTAACATGCTGATGTATGAACTTCACTGGGCCCTGAACTCCTAACTTTGAATCCATTATTTTTTCCCTTTTAGTGTTGTGAGTAGAGGAAAAAACTGACCCTATGTTTTCCCCCACGACACAAGTCACTGTCGTTATGGCTTTCATATCAAGTATCTGTTTCCCTTTTTCCAATTAATTATTTGACCAATTTTATGTTCAGAGGTTAGACTCGCAAACATCAAAGCACCACAAATGCGCGTGACATCTAGTGACACTGGGTTGAGAAATGCCAATATAAATACCATAGATCAAATTACCATTGTTTCACACCAGGATAAAAAGGGGGGTGGCGGTAGTGGTATTGGGGTGGGGGAGAGTTGTTCTTGGAAAGAAATGAAGGAAAGAGCAGAACCAATCTCAAGCAGCCAAGTGGTGAAGTTGGATGGATGTGACCCTACGATCTTTCGGCTAGGTGGCCAGGACGGCCGCCTGCTAATACATCTTGGCAAAGGAAATGGGAACCGAGTGCGGTGGCTGGCGAATGCACAGTGTGCTGATGGTAACGGCAGATTGGGAACGACTGGTTTCTGTTGAGCTTGAGGCCACACATGTTCCAATTCTCCAGAAGAAAAGTTCCCATGCACAATAGAAGTGTCAAGAGCTGCCAGGACGGGTCAGTACTCTTCCTGCTGCTGGAGCTGCTGCTCGTGGACCTGCTCCTCTGCTTCCGGCTCTTCTGTGTGGCCCTCCTGCGGGGGCAGGGGAGAAGTTTCAGCTGAAGTAACTCACTGTGTGTCTGAGGCCCTGTGGCGTCCCAGCCCATGGTAACGGCCTATGTGGTGTCTTGGGACTACGGAGAGCACCAGGCTTAGGCACAACTCGCCATGCAAATGTCCCCCAGCTCCCAGGGGCCGACACACACGGGGACACCTCAGCTTCCCTGAGCCACCAAAGAACAAATCATTCTACAAAGCACAGTCCTCAGGCTTTAAGGGCCAAACTTTTCCTTTGGAAGGAAATCTTCCTAGAACACATTTACATACTTTTCTACCCTCTATAAAAGAGTAAACTCAACACAATGACCCAAGAGTGTCATGACAACCACAGATGAAGCTGCTGTGACATAAATGGTATGCCCGGCCCCTGCGGGGCGTCGGGTGGTCACCCCTGGCAGTATCAGCCTGAAGGACACCCTCTGTTATGATCTGTTATGAATCTGATGTAGGCTTGGACACCAAGCAACTTGTTAGCATTTCTGAGGGTGAGGAAAGCATTTCAGCCACGGTTCAGGGACCGCCCTGGGCAAGGAGGCCCAACAAGGAAGCTCAGGATCTTTAGCTCAAGGACTTTGGGACATCTATTTAGGGTACCTGAGGCTTTCTGGCATACTTTCTGCTTATTGACTGGGAACCAATTAGGGGAGGCATTCCTCTCCTTGGCACCACGTGTCCTATCTACTCCTGCCCCTGACCCAGTGAAGCACACCGCGGACACTCACTCCAGGGGCCTCAGGCTTCATCAGCCACACCTGCAAATCTTTCACGTTCTGACCTCACAAACAATAATCTGCTCTTCTTACCTGAGCAGAGGGGGCACAGCGGATCAACAGGAGCTCAGTGCTCCCTCCGTCAGGGCGAGGGGCTTCTGCCCCCGCTTCCTGAAGCCTAGCATGAACCCACAGGTAGCCAATTCACACGCGGCACGATCATCTCCCCAGATCCCCGAGCCAGAATTACTTCTCTCCCTTCTCCTGCCGCACTTGTTTTCTTCCTCTGCTAGGAAACTGATTTGGAAGCCTGTTTGTCCAAGCTGTTGACCTCCCCCACTGGATCCCTAGGTTACTGGAGGCAGGAACAGGGCCTTGGTGCCCTCTGGGCCATACCTCACTTACTGCAGGACTCAGCCTGTGTTGTGTTGAGAGGAGGAATCACAGTGGGTTCAAGTGGATGACCAAGACAGTCAGACTACCAGCTAAGGCTGCTCGCTGCTTATTTCCTGAGAGGCAGTGAGTGTGACATCAAGGTTATAAGCATTGGACTCTGGAGTTCACATCCTGGCCCTGCTATTTACAGCTGTGTGAGTTTGGGCATGTGATTTAACTGCTCAGTTAACTGCTGGGCCTCAGTTTTCTCGCCTGTAAAATCAGGGATAAGAGCCCCCGTGAACAGAGTTTCCAATTCATCGATCAATGAATCAGTGCACTCACTGACTCCAACAGAGGAGTTAGTAATTTAAAGTAAGTGCCTAGGAGAGTGTTTGGCACACAGTAAATATAAATGTGAGCTGTGATCATTATTTGTTAGTGGGAGAACTCTTTGACATATATTCTAGAAGTACAAATAATTTTAAGAAAAGTAACCCTTTCTGCGACAACCAACAGTAGAAAGTGACATCATGTTGAAGACTGGAATCAAATCTGGCACTGTCCCTTGCTGGCTCTGTGCCACCAGGCACATTATCTATAAATGTGAGCTTTCCCATGCCTATGGCCACCCTCTCTTGTCACCACCTGGAACTGTTCCTCCTCTAGAATGTGAAGGACCAGCCTCTACTCTGATCACATCATGAGTCCTTCTGACACCTGTACTCCCAGATTCCTTAATTGCAGATGCTCTTTGATCTTAGGGGGACCTCAGAGCCCTGAGCCCCTCTTTACTCTCATTCTGCCAGGTTGATGCCAGGCCCCTAGGCATTGCTGCAGCTGCAGTTTGGGCAGCGTCCTCTGCAAGCAGCTTTGCCCTCTGCCTGGCACACATGAGGGTAGTCCTCTTAGCTCAGAGTCAGGGCCTCAACTGGCAGGAAGACCATACATTTGTGGGAGCGAAATATTTCTTTTATTTATATATATATATATTATATATATATTATGTATATATATATTATAGTATTATATATATAATTATATATTATATATAACATATATATATTATATTTGAGACAGAGTCTTACTCTGTTACTTGGGCTAGAGTGCTGTGGCATCAGCCTAGCTCACAGCAAACTCAAATTCTGGCTTAAGCAATCCTCCTGCCTCAGCCTCCTGAGTAGCTGGGACTACAGGCATGTGCCCCGTGCCGGCTAATTTTTCTATATATTTTAAGTTGTCCAGCTAATTTCTTTCTATTTATAGTAGAGACAGGGTCTCACTCTTGCTCAGGCTGGTCTCTAACTCCTGAGCTCAAATGATCTGCCAGCCTTGGCCTCCCAGAATGCTAGGATTATAGGCGTGAGCCACCATGCGCCCAGCCAGGAGTGGAGTATTTCTTGCTGGGACAAGGCCAGACAGGAGACAGTCAATGGCCTCCCTCAGTCCATGCTCTCATCTGGGGAAGAAGAATGAAACCAATGCTCATGGGAGTTTAACAGCAACTCTGGACAGGGCACTCCCGGCTGTCTGTTCTGCCACATGCTCCTCTGAATTGTGAAACACCGCTCCTCCCTGGAGCCTCTCTCCCTGAATTGATGGCTCCTCTCTCCAGGCTCTGCATCCTTGGTTCTTGATTCTGTCGGAGGGCTCTACAGCCCTGCGCGTGTTCCTCCTGGGTGGCTACACAGCTGTCTCTCCAGCTGGGCTCTGAGCCCCTCATGGCTGAGTTATGTTGTTTTATTCCTCATCTGAACTCTTGAGTGCTGGTGTGGTGTCTTCCATATTGTACCGCTCAAACTTCAGCTGGCCTGAAGTACGCTTTTCGGACATAATTGTTTCTGTGCGTGTTAGGCTGCTGAAAGGATCTCAGAAATGAAGGTCTGTTTTACATTTTATAGAAAATCTTGTTTGCTCACATCACAACTGGGAGTTAAGGGTGGAATAATGGAGTTAGCTGAAGTTGAAAGACCTGGATTCAAGCAACTGTTGAGCCTGTAAAAAGCTATAGGACCAGGCAACTACTAGGGAACTACTCTCTTTCCGATCATGTCCAGCTAGCAGGTGGGTTCGCTACCCTTGTCTATGGCTCTGAGGTCTCCAGCTGGCCAAGTGCAGCTGCCAGCGCACACCGGGCTGATGTCCCAGTCACGGGATACTGCCACCGGTGATGCCGCACATCTGCAGGCACTGTGGACCCCGGACCCCTCTTTCTGGGCACTACTAGCCTAAAGAGCAAACCTCCCAGATTATCAATAGATTGCTAGTATTTGGGGTGCAAATTAAGGCAGTCTGGAAGTCTGGCAGAACATGCCAGTAATTCTGAGATATTACACATCACAGCTGAGAGCTCCCAGCCCACACAATGCTATTGTAGGCTCACAAAAAAAAAAAAATCTTTTTCTTAAGCCCTATATGAGAATGAAAAACTTAATCTCACATGTAAGTAGGAGGCCAGGCAAAACCTATGCCAAATATGGGACTAATGTAGTGGAGTGTCACTTAATTAATTCTAATATGTGCATATCAATCCATCACATCTTTTTAAATGTTTAGCTGTGAGTGACTGTGTTATAATTCTTTATTCTTCTTATAATCATTAGAAAGAGAAGTTGGAGGACAGTCTTGAAGAAGGCTCTTGGCCACTGTGGGAGGAAATGGGAACAAAAGAGGGAGGAGGGGCCTTCGGGAAGTCCCAGTGACACCCTGCTCCCGCCGTGGGAGGCAGCGCTCCACAGCGTCATCTCCCGCCACTCTCGCCAGCTGTGGCGGCTGTTCTTCCCTCTCTGCTTTGCTCATGCTCTTTCCTCTGCCTGCAAATTACTCTAGCTTCGTTCTGGAACTGCTGTCACTCCCAGTGTCCTTCAGCGTGCAACACAAATGCCATCCTCGCTGTGAAGTCTCTGCTTGGTCCTCCAGGCTGTTTTTATCTGCTCCCCACACGAGTTTATTTATGTCTGCATTATCACATGTATCATAGTGTGACACTTATTCCAGTTAGTCACATCCCTGTCTGTCTCCCTCGCTGGGGCTGTGAGCTCCTCAGGGGATGGTGGGGGAGAGAGGTTGTGTCTTTTTCTATATACCCAGTGCTTAGTGTAGTCACAGAAATATTCCAGTGACAGAAGCACAGCCCACATCCAAACAGTGTTGGCTGAAGGAGAAACAGCCTTTAGGTCAGTTTAACGGCGGCTTCCATGGCAGCCAGTACCCAAGGAAACGACTGTTTATAAGCTGGTGCACCTCAGCTGACAGAATCCATGAGGGAGCCAATGACTAAGCTTAGACACCTGTGGCCCTAAGTTAAGTACTAAGGGAAAACAAAATGAAAATGATAAAGATCTGCTCTGGAAACTTCCATCACCTTTCTATAAGTAGGAATTGAATCACCTCTGTGGACTTCCCTACTCAAGACTCCCATTGGATTTTCACCTCTTCCAAACATCATATTGTAGGGTGCTTGACTATAAGAATCAGAGACCAATCATCACCAAATAAAAATGAAAAGCTTTCACTCAGCGGAAGAGACCCCCTCTGGCAAATACCCCTGCCTGAAACGTCAACACATGCCCACTGGCGTTTCTCTGCAGAGCGTGGGCCACAAACCCAGCCTCCTACCAGTCCTCAAGGAGGACTCTGCGAAAGGCCACCAGACATCTCTGCCACCTCAGATCTGTGCGCACAGCCGTAACCAACAGCATCACGAACAAAGTACTGACATTTCTTCCCGTTAGGCACGTGCATCACACCTGCATCACGCCTCTACCCGCCACCCGGGGGTGGGAATGGCCTGGAAAACAGGACAGAGCGTCAGGGTCAAGCACGGTGGGGCAAATGGAGGACTCCCAGAGCGGGCAGCGGGGGGTGCACGGTGGCCTCGTAAGCACGGAGCGCAGTGTTTAGCACAGTGATGCCTTTCCAGAGCACAGACACGGGGGAAGGCGGGCAAGGGGGGACGCTTTGGCAAGGCTCACTCCCCCGGGGCTGGAACCCGGCTGGGCTTCGGGGAGGCTGCCAGAGAAACAGGATTCGTTATCCGCAGGGAGAAAGGCAAACGCTTGAAGGCTTTACGATATCTAGGACGATTCCTTGAACCTTAGCGGGGGAAGCAGAAAGCAGAGCAGGCTAGCTGCTCCCGAGCCTCTTCAGCAGAGTCGCGCGCGCACGCCGCATACGGAAAGCACCCAGCACAGCGTCCAGGCACACTGCAGTCTTCTCTTTCTTTCTGCACAAAAACCAAGGTTAAAAAAAAAATGGGTCTTGTCGTATTCTGAACAAGGACACCTGGCATATTCTAGATCAAACAGTTCATTCTCTGTAGAAAACTCAGTACAGACTGATGTCTCTTTGGCAGTTTTCCAGATGCAAAGTTGCAATAAAAAAAAAAATATATCCTGGAACTAGAAAAATTAAGCCAGCAATTGCATTTGAAGATTTTGTTCTGGTAACCCATACGTGCAGTTTATGTTAAGGCTGATATTTTCTCTTCTAGATTCTAAGTGGGTACCCTAAGTAATTCTCCTCCTGGATTCTGGATACTCCTTAGCACATACTGCAATCGTCTTTCTCTCTGGGGAGTTATTTGGAGAAAATCCAGGTAGGAATTCGACTACTTCCCTTTCCACACCACAGGGCGTGTTTAATTGAAGACTTTCCAGTGGACAGTCTGTCTTGAGGTTTTTCCCCAAGTAGAATGACTTTTATTTTCTCCTTGTCCCATGGCACCCAATATGCCGAGAGGGAGGTAATACAGTTCTTAGGATTTGAGACTCTGAGTTAGATACACCTGAGTTCAAATCCCACTGCCGGAGCTTATTAACCGTGACTTGTTGGGCAAATAATTTCATCTCTGAAATGTAGATAAGTAACAGCACCCACCCAACAGGGATGGGGTTAAGGTCAGAAATGTAGGCAGGATGTGAATATAATACTTAGCACATACTTAATGCTCAGTAAATGATAGCTATTACTACTGTCATGATCCTATTTAAAGGTGGCTCAGGCTTGGAGAAGGGAGAGCATGACCTTAGGTTCAGGCTAATTTTAGGGTTCAAATGCAAAATTATGACACTGATGAACTTGGGAAAGGTATTTAACCTCTTTACTGCCTTAGTTTCCCTCATCTGTACAATGGGATAACAATATCTACCTAATAGGATTCTCAAGACCATTAAGGGAGCTAATAAGCTAATATCCATAAAGCCCTAGGCCTTTTCCTCTCAAGCCTCCTCCCAGGTGTCCAAGGACAGGACCTGCTAAACCCATTATCCAGTCTTAATGACTGATGAGGTTTTAAAGTATTACTTCTCCTTCGGGTGTCTGCATTTTAATAATCGTTGCACATACACTGCAAGAAAGGCTCTCTGAATCCAGACAGCAGCAGGGTGGTACTGGGGTGCGGGGCGTGCATGGGGTGGTGGCGATGGGAAGGGTAGAACATCTAGGTAGATCCCCTGAAACCACACCCAGGAGGCGAACACTCTTGCCAGGTGGCCCACTGACCCTTAGCCAGGCAGTCAGGGGACTGTGCGGACTCCTCATCTGGAGTTCACTATCAGGTGACGGTGCTTCTGCACAAGGACTCCCTCTTGAAACAAAATCTGGCTTGAGGTTAGAATCAGAAGGTTTTCCCTTGCGCTGGAAAGTGCAGGGCTGGGAAGAAGATTCGATACTGCACACCAGCCTCGCTCCCACCAGCAGGCATTATCACAGACAGACAACAGCACTACTCGCTGTGTAGACCTCATTCAATTGAGCCCTAAACAAGTCAGCGGAGAGAGTAACCATAATTCATCCAGTGCTTGACAGGCTACCAGCACCCTGTACATAGAGAACATCATAGACATGCCACTCTGCACTATAAATCGGCCTCTGATCTTCCACCATACATGAAAATATTGAAAGCTAAGTATTCTGTGAAGCCATCACAGCCTCTGGGGTCTAATCAGGTGGATTCCCAGGACTTCAAAATAAACACTCTGAGCTACTGATGACCAAAGAAAGAAGTTAAAAAAAAATCTGCACTTGCTTCAGCACTAAAAAAAAAAAAACAAATAATAATCTGGGGGAAATGAAAAAAAAAAGTGGTGGAGAGCTCCCAGCCCCCAGACACAGTTCTTCACAGTTTAGGAGAATTTCACTGCTAGGATTTTGAGTCATAAATAGAGTAAACATGTGCCTGGTATTCAGCTGGAATAAGGCTTGCTACACGCTGTGGGAATACCCACACACACGGCTCCACCGGGAGCCCGAGAGCACTCAACCCAGCAGAAGGAGAAGCTCTACAAACCAGCCCCTTGTCACTCGCCTCCTACAATTCGTTCTGGAAGGTAAAGTCCTGTTGGGCTCCTGCTCCTGCCTGGTTGCCCAGCCCGCCCTCCCAGCACAGGCAGGCCTGGGGTGACCTGCCTCGATCTCTGCCATCTATCCTGCCCCTTCCGCTCCTTGCTTCGGCAGATTCTGCTCCTCCCCTGCTTCTCACATCTGCTTTTCATCACCCTGCCAAAGCCACATCCGGGGTCTCCCTCGGTGCTCACGAGAGCGCCAACTCTGGTGGCAGGTCCTCCCCACAAAAGAGGCCTTCTAGAAGTATTTACAACAAAAGTCTGTCCCATAGTTCTGGTCTGTCCAGGCCATAAATAACCAAGACAACCAGCTTTGAAATAAAAGCAGACAGTTGTGGGGCTTAAGGGGATGGGGAAAAGCATCTAGATTATTTCTTCCTTCAACCACACTCCAATCTTTCATGAAGAAAGAAGAATCTATATATACATTCTGACTGCTCGCTTGCTTAGGGGGCTGAAAACCATTTGGGATTTGGCTGCATGAGTGTATTTTTCTCCGTCAAAGATCTTCCACCCATTTCTTCCCAGATTAATTTATGAATGCGTGTCCCACAGGCCTGGGTCAATGGATCGTGATGACAATGTTTATTACTCTGGGGATATCAAATGTGCTTAGCTGGGCTGTCATTCTCAGAGGTCCTGGGGAGGTTATCTAAGGCCCGTTGATCAAGGCACTGCACTTTGACCAAGAGTCGTTTTAGAACACAGGAGCCAACAGCTCCCCACACTTACGTGTTCGTCTGAAGCATAGAGCACTTCCATTACTCGCTGCACGAGGTCATCGTTTTCCTGCCCGTGTTCTTGGCAGAGTAGCTCAATCTCTCTCAACTTCCCAAAGTAGAAATCCCTTTCCTTTTCCACGCCTTCAAGGGCAAGTTTTAATGAATGTACCTGCAAGGGAGGGAGGGTGGAGAAGAAAAACCCCAAAATACAGTATAAGAAATAAGCGACCAGTTATACCTGTGAATAAAGACCCAAAACATATAGAAAGAGACCTACAGAAATAACCAATGTGTAAGTTTGAGGGAGAAACAACAGGGCCGTTGTTTGGAGCTTGAGTTTGGGCCAAAACGTCCAGTCTCCTCAGAATGCTAATGGTTCCCTTCAGCAAAGTGAGTGTTTATTAACTGGGGTCAGAGTGATCATTCTGCTTGTAAGGTCTCACCTTACAAGGCTGAGAGTATACTTTCCTCCAGGAAATACAGTACAGGCTGGGAGTGTATTTTCCTCTCTTGCTAACATGGGCTGGAACACATCGTTCTCCTAAAACTTGTTGCTATGGTCTCAATGTTTGAGTCCCTCCAAAATTTATATGTTGAAATAGTAACTCCCAATGTGATGCTATTAAGAGGTGGGGCTGTTGGGTGGTGGCTAGGTCATGAGGGTGGAGCCCTCATAAATGGGATTAGTGCCCTGATAAAAGAGACCTAAGGGAGCCTGTTACCCCTTCCAGTCTATGAGGAATGGGCCCTTAAGCAGACATTGAATCTGCTGGCACCTTGATCTTGGACTCCCCAGCCTCTAGAATGACAAAGAAATAAATTTCTGTTGTGCATAAGCCACCCAGTGTATGGTATTCTGTTACAGCAGCCTGAATGTACTAAAAGCACTTGTCCATGATCTGATCATGAAGGCGGGAAAGTAAAAGAGAGAGGCTGTAAGGCTGGCCATTTAGATGTATGGTGAGGACCCTCCTTTCTTCAGATCACTCGCATTAAGAGCCACCCCGAGCTTCTGACCCCTTCAAAAATGATACTGAGCCGAACAGACATATGCTCTCTACCGAGAAATTGGAGCTTGGTGACACAAGGAACACCGAAAGCCTGGCCAAGTGGATCTGTCACACTGTCTCTAGTTTGGAGTTTGGGTGTATCACTGGAAAAGCAGGAAGGCGTGGAAGCCCCACTCACTCACCAAAACAGCTCTCATTCCCTCTTTTTCCCCTTAATTCCGGTTCCAGAACCTGCCAAGGCTGTGTAGCTTCTCAGGGTGGTTACAGAGATCATGTAAGTGAAGGGGCAAAAGTCAACAGAGGGCCTGAGAACTCAGACAACCAGGGCTGAAGACACTTCGACAGGGGTGTAACTAGATCTGGTTTCAAATCTCGGGCTGCCACACTCCACGAGCACAGCAGCTACATGCAGGCCCAAACCGTCACCCCATTCCTGATCTCTGAGAATCCCCCCATTGTTTTTATTCTTTATTTTTATGTATAGTATGTTCTTTAGGAGGTAAATTAAGTCTTTCATGGTCCTCCTTAGGTGAAATTTTTCTTTTAGTATATTAAAAATCACCCTTAACAGAATTTTTAAACATTAGTCTTTTTTTGGGGACAGGGTCTCACTTTGTCACCCAGGCTAGAGTGCAGTGGCGTCATCATAGCTCATTGTAACTTCAAATTCCCTGGGCTCAAGTGATCCTCCTGGCTCAGCCTCTCCAGTAGCTGGGACTATAGGTGTGCACCACCACACTTGGCTAATTTTTCTATGTTTTTTTTTTGTAGAGGTGGAGTCTCACTCTTGCTCAGGCTGGTCTCAAACTCTTGGCCTCAAGTGATCTTCCAGCCTTGGCCTTCGAAAGTGCTAGGATTATAGGAGTGAGCCACCACGCCTGGCCCATAAATGACATTTGGAATGCAAAATGTTCTTCTCTCTCTTTCCAATAATTTTTGGGCCTTTGCACATGCAACTTAATCTGTCTGGAATTATTGCTTCATTCAAACACATACTGAGCCCATGCAGTGTCCATCTGCAGCCAGCTCAGTCTACAAGGAAGAGAGGGATGGATACCTAAGCGCCACGAATCCATCTGCTGGCAACAGCACAGGGCTGAGATAGATTCTGTGGCCAAACCCGGGGAGCTCCCCTTGGACCAGGCATGGACACTTCAACCCAGGGAAGCCAGGTTTTTCTGCCTCCTGAGTGCTTTCTCTGTATAATGAGCAAACAGCCGAGGCTTTTGAGGAAATACCCAGCGTAAGTCAGGCTTACAACTTGCACTGCAGATGCATTAGATAACAGGTGCTCAGCTATAAACACTCCCTGATAAAAACCATCAGTAGCTAACTTATATGATGAAAGATCAACTGGCAAGCGAAATTCCACTGTCATAGTTCCACTCACTAAGACTGATGCCAGCCTCATCCCTCTCCTGTTGTGGCAGATGCCTAAGCGATGGAGGAGATGCTGGGGATGGGTCCTTGAGAGAAGTCAAGGGCAAGGAGGGTAAGTTCTCCTCGTCTCATGGTTTTCCCAATGCCTCCCAGTGAGTCTGCAGACTGCAGGTCCCCCCAGGCCTTGAGCCTCAGTGACAGCCATAGTCTCCCCCACCAGTGGTCCTTGAACACTTGGGCTAACCCACCTCCCCCACCAGTGGTCCCTGAACATAGCAGTGACTCCAATGCACTTCCCATTGGCTAACCCACTGCCAGAAAGAGCCCCTCGTTTCTTTATTTATGTCTTTTTCTCTGCTATGTCTCTTGGTTCATCTCTGTCACTGGAATTGTCAGCACAGTACACCATGGGAGATTGCCCCAGGACAAGCAGGCGGCCAAGCAAATGAAAATCCTGCAAGTTTACAGCCCTGTCGCTTTCTCTATCACCACTGTGACACACCCTTTGCCTCGGCATCTTCACTCAGCCTCTGCTCGCCCCAGGTTCTCAGTTCCAACGCTGTGATACCTGTGTGGCCCCCAGCAGCCTCAGGGGACATCCTGCAGGCTTCCAGGACAGAGAATGCAGGGAGCAGTGACAGTCAACCACGGAGACGAATGTGCAGTATGTGCTCAGTAAACAACTGTCCACTGATGAACTCACAATTTCGGGTGTGTCAGGCCTTCCCTGTGAGGGAGGGTGGGGAGGGGGCAGGCACACTCCTAGATGGGAAGGCATGGGGGGTGGGCAACAGGAGGGGGCTAGGGAGGCCTTTTGGAAGAAACGAAGGGATTATAAGAAGGAAGATCACTGGATTGTTCCTCTCTTTGTCCTCTCTGGAGTGCATTTTGGAGGGCAGGGTGGTTTAGCTGAGGCGTTTTAGAGGTCTGCATCCCCTGGGGGTGGGAGGCTCTTTTGCGTGATTTGGAGATCTAATGGGAGCCTCAAGCCGGTGCCAAGGACAGGAAGAGGGGCTGGCTGGGGGGCAGGCTGCAAGGGAAAGAAGGACAAATGAGAAGGACCTGGAGGTTTCCATGTGGTTATAATTTGGGCTGAAGGGGTGGAAACCTGGGTGTGGTGGAGGAGGAAGAGAAAGGAGAGGAGTCATGAAGAAACATGAGATAATAGAGCTATCAAAAGAATCTGAACTCCTTAGGAGAAAAGAGTTATACGGTTGTCCCTTGGCATCTGAGGGAGATTGATTCCAGAACATTCCCCCTCAGATATCAAAACCCACAGATGCTCAAGTCCCTGATATAAAATGGCATATCTGCATATAACCCATGCACGTCCTCCCATATATTTTAAATCATCTCTAGATTACTTATAATAAAAAACACAATGTAAATGTTATGTAAGTAGTTATGCTGTATTCATTTTTATCATTGTGCTGTTATTTTTTATTTTATATTTTCAAAATATTTTGCATCATGATTGGTTGAATCCACGAATGTGGAACTTGTGGATATGGAGGGCCCACTGGAAATCTAAAACATCACAGATCCACTCCCTGACTCTTAGGTCTACTCTGATTTGCTTGGGGCCTTAGGCTCAAGGCTTACTACTGCAGTCTTTACCGCCTTTTATCCGAGAAGTCATTACTGGAATCTCTCTATGGGCTCAAACCGAGAATCAGCAGGTAATTAGAACATTCCACAGTTTCTAAATCCAAGTCCTACCCACTGGATGACTTAATGTTTTACCTTTCTCATGAAAGTGATCAGAACTATACCCTGGGTTAAGCAACTGCCTGCTTTTAAACTAGATTCTTGATTGCAAATATACCGTTATCTCAAAAACTGTTCCTAGACTCCTGCTGGCTCATCAAGAATAAGATTAATCACCAGGACTGGCCCAGTGAGTGGCTAAGAACCACCTGAGGACGACCTTGGATGAAGGCTCTTCTCACATCGGCTGGGTGGCCAGGATAGAGGACTTTCCTCCACACCCCGGGAAGGCTGGGTGGCTTCCAAGTGGGCCCTATGCTACCCAATGTTTTATTACTTTTAAACTATATATATAATCTTAGGCAAAATTAGCTATCATTAGAAAGTATACCTAAGATTTTTATAATGACAATTTCAAAGACAGTGGAGCTAGATTTACTGGAATTGTAAGGAATATGAGATCAAAAGGAAAGTTCTTCTACTTAGAACACAACTGTAGCCTCTAGGATCCCCCCACTATTGGGTTTGGTGCTCCTGTAGCATCCAACTTTCGCCATTGTGGGAAGTGTCAGGTTTTTTGTTTGCTTGTGCAATAACCTACTATGTGCAACTGCTGCTTGCGAGTGCTATGAGGGAAGGCAGAGCATCTTGCTGCCATTATATTACAAGCATTAAACACAGTATCTGTCACATAGAACAGGCTCAACTAATAGTTGCAGAAAAAAAGGAAGGAAAAGGGGAGGGAAGGAAAGGGAGACAGACTAACCCTAAAGCAGCCTTTATCGCTGCCTAGACTGGCCAGAAGTGGGCAGGATGGGCCACAGTCCAGCCTGGAGCTCATGACAGCCATGGAGGCATACAGGAGGGGAAGGTGGCCTGCAAACCTGCAGCAAGGTGAGCCATTTGTCTCGTCTTAACGTACAGCTTTGAGATCTTTTATTCATCACGTGCTACTCATTTCATCTTCCTGAACAATTCTTTTTTTTTTTTTTTTTTTGAGACAGAGTCTCGCTTTGTTGCCCAGGCTAGAGTGAGTGCCGTGGCGTCAGCCTAGCTCACAGCAACCTCAAACTCCTGGTTCAAGCAATCCTTCTGCCTCAGCCTCCTGAGTAGCTGGGACTACAGGCATGTGCCACCATGCCCGGCTAATTTTTTTGTATATATTAGTTGGCCAATTAATTTCTTTCTATTTATAGTAGAGACAGGGTCTCGCTCTTGCTCAGGCTGGTTTCGAACTCCTGACCTCGAGCAATCCGCCCACCTCGGCCTCCCAGAGAGCTAGGATTACAGGCGTGAGCCACCTCGCCTGGCATGAACAATTCTTTTTATTCTTACTTGCTTGAATGCACTGACTCGACCTCTTCTTTCCCGTATCCCAGCCTAGGGGTCTGGACCCTCATGGCTTCCATGTGTCACTGCTCCCAGAGCCACAGCCAGGCTAAGGAGTTACCTGTTCATTAAGCTGTATGACCTGTGTTTCTAAATCTTTATCAGACTTGGACGCTGAGCTGCTGGAGGAAGCCCTTTTGGCTGAGGAGGGACGAGAAGGTGTGGATCCTGGTTTAGATGCTGGACTTGATTTAGCTGCGCCTGAAAGCAATCAGAACAAATTATACATATTGGCAACATGAAAAAATGTTTTTTAGATATACAGCATACATGAGATATAAAAGGAACTTACTAAAGCATATAAGAGATATCTCCAGCGATCCCTTCCCATGCAGAAGGGAGTACAAATATACTTAGAAAAAGTACACACGATGAAACGATGGTGTTGTCTTGGGTAACTTATTTAACCTTTGTGAATGCTGTTTTTGCCTCAAGTAATGTGAGGTTAATGCAGTTGTCCTTTCTTTCTCCAGAGAGTTAAGAGTAACAGAAACAAAAGGATTTTAAATTTTTTAAGAGGAAAACCTTTTAGATAAAAATCACTCTACTGAGTTTCTAACAAACAAGAGACCTTATAACAGATTAATACTTCAGATGAAATATCAATATGAATGTATGTTTTTTCTCTTTTAATATATTTCCTAGCTTTGGCCACCAAAATTGCCTAGGAGCAATGCCATCTTCATAGCAGTGAGCACACCTGGTGCCCAAATCTTGGTTTCTAAATGTTACTCTGCAATAAAAGGGCTTCTTGAGAAACGGCTGATTTCAGAGATGGGGCAGAGAATGTTCAAGGTGAGTTTAGGATACTTTGTGTCATAAAGCAAGGATGTACTCGAGGATTAAGGTCAAAAGGACACAGGGGCCACCTTAAAGGGGCTCCCATCTAGTCACGCTTGGGATAGTTTGCATATCAGGAAGAGTAACAGCTGGAATTTATTGTAATGCATTGGATAAATGGAAATCTATCAGTCTATGATAAGAGGGGGAGGAGGACAGGAGACAGGGAGAGAAAGAATGCAAAGATCTTCTCTACAGAATACTGGCAGCCAGTGAATGTAGAAGAAATGTTAGAACTAGAAAAATCATCATTTTGCAACATCCATAATTAGTAACTGATTCAGGAAAGGTTCATCAATGGACACTAAAACTTTAGGTGAGAGGTTTCTGGGGAACAAAATATTTACACGTGCCACGGTATTATCCTAGAAATTCCTCACTATAAAGGGGAAAAACGTACCTTTACAATAGGGAGATCTGGGGGGTCATCACCTAAAGCGAGTGATCTACTTGGCATTGCTAATAATGATACAAATTGTAAAAAAAAAAAAAAAAAAAAAAAGACCACTGGTTTCAGGCAAGACCTTACCTATTTCGAGCTCAGCTCATGAAAGACTCTCACTATCTAGAACACGGCACAGATATGGGAATGGCATATGCAGCCAACACAGAAGTCACACGTAAATGCAATGAAGTTTATGCGCTTCACAATTTAAGAAATTCCAGGTCATCATTGGGGCCCATCCATCCCCTTTTCCTCTGCACACAGCCCTTGGTGGTGGCAGCTCTGCTGTCCCTCACTTCAATTTGGTGCAGGTGCTCCTGCTGACCCAGTTCCCCACTGCCCCCACCCCCCTCCTCCCCTTCTAGGAGGTAAGGAGGGCAGGGAACGCATCTTGTCCGTCTCTGTAACCCCACTGCACAGCACAATGCTTGGCTGAACATATATTTGGTTAAGGAACAAATGTTTAAAGTAAATTCATGAACAAGTAAATAAAGCCTAGTGATGTGGTTTCCAATTTTATAGTTTATCAGTACCAACGGGTGAAAAAGAGGCAGGTATGTGGCAGCAGTTACAAGTTTCAACCAATATCCTAATTACAAAGTAGCAAACCGGAAGACTATAAAATTTATATTTGTATGCCTTCAGGTGCCTGGAGTCAGTTACAGAGGCAAATCATACACACCCCCGAGAAGCACTGACAGTATTACAGCCTTGAAAATATGTGCCTCTCTGTTATAAAGAAAAAAAAAATGTTCTTTAAAAATACAGAGAAATGCCAAATATACTTTAAAATGAGAATGGTTAAATTAAGAATGCCTTAAAATAGTTTGAGTATTCAAAAGATAAATCTGCAGATCCCTGGAAACCTCACCTTTGCAGAAGAGCTTCCCAGGGATTCTAGAGAGCTGATGTTTTGCTTTATTTGTGGCTAGTATACAGTTGCAAGGACCCTCCATCTCTGCAGCAGCCTCTATAAAACACTCCTGGCCACTACCACTGTATCCCACTGACCGGGTTCTCTAACTAGAGGCCAAACCAGCCAGGAAAAGAAAACCATGTGGGGGAGTGGGTAGGAGACATAGAATGCAAACACACTCATCTGGCAGAGAGCCTTCTCACAGGTAGCCACTGCCTAGCAGCTGGGGAAGCAGCTTGGGAAAAACCAAATTCCTTCATACTTTTAAATAAGCAAAACAGCAAATTTTAATATAAAGAAAGTCTAACAGAAAGCAGCACAAAGACTATCCATGGGTTGGGCATGGACTAGGCACAGTGGCTCATGCCTGTAATCCTAGCACTCTGGGAGGCTGAGGTGGCAGGATTGTTCAAGGTCAGGAGTTCAAAACCAGCCTGAGCAAGAGCGAGACCCCTGTCTCTACTAAAAACAGAAAGAAATTAACTGGCCAACTAAAAATATATGGAAAAAATTAGCCGGGCATGGTGGCACATGCCTGTAGTCCCAGCTACTCAGGAGGCTGAGGGAGAAGGATTGCTTGAGCCCGGGAGTCTGAGGTTGCTGTGAGCGAAGCTGACACCACAGCACTCTAGCCTGGGCAACAGAGTGAAACTCTGTCTCAACAAAACAACAACAACAAAAAAAACCCCAAAGACTATCCATGATTAACACCCCTTACTTAATACAATATACTGCCATGGGCCACATACTGGAGGTCTCTAAGATGACTAAGATGCAGTCTCTGTTCCCCAAGGAGCTCAGACTTGTGGGAGCTACAGCCACCTAAGAATTCCCAGATGTGGCATCTTCAATGCTCTCAGGAACAAGCCAGTGTTCCATGACTCCAAGACCACCCAGTGTGATCAGGCTATATTCCTTCTGCCTTAAACACTCTCCCTCCTACCTGCCCTCCACCTCCTTTGAGTGACTGGGTCTATCATTCTTCTGGCCTCAGCTCAGATGTCACCTCCTCTGGAAGGCCACAGCACCCTGGACACTTTCTTCATAGCACATACCAACTGCAATGGTACAGCTGTCTCTTTAATGCTGACTCCTCCCTTTAGATGTCAGCCCCACGACGCAGGAGTTGTATCTCTTGTGGCCATTCCCTTATGTTCCCACGGCCAATCACAGTGCCTGACCCACAGACACCTGGTAACAGTTTTTATAATTCATTACGTAATACCTAGCAGAGGCCTCTCTCCAGGGTAAGGATGCTAGAGAAAGTTGGAGGAGCTGCTGCCAAATGTCAAAGGCACTGATAGGAAGAACCAGTAATACATGAAGAAAACCAAATAAAAATCATCAGCCTCGAAGAAAAAGAGCTCTTCCCTGTTTTCCTTTCAAGATGACATTCCATGATGACTTATGCCTCGTAATTACACAGAATCAGGATAGCAGGTTAAGTGGGCAAGTTCAGTCATAAATGCTCAACTCTGAGTGGTTTGTGCTGGGCTCTCCAAGTCTATGCCTCGTTCACTGGCCTCTTCTGAGGGACACAGCCCTGCTCTTCCCTAGAGAGCACGTGACCCACCTCCCAGGTGACCTTCCACAGGCAGGTGAGCGACTCTGAGGTGGCTTGTTGCAGTGATCGAGCCAGGCTCCTCAGACACACTCATGTTCTGGTATGCAGCCTTACCCAGTCCAATGTCAATTTAAAAAGAAAAAAACACGGAAGGGGCAGAGGCTGACTGCTTGCAAAACAGGGGTACCACTTATTATTTTCTTGGGATATCATCAAGTGTGGCTTGAAAAAAAAAAAAAGGAAATGTTTGGTAAAAAGCAGAAGGGGTTGTAGCAAGCCCAACTCCCAGGCAAGGCCACGGTGTCAGGGAAGAGTGACCATAAAGCAGCAGAGGACGCCGGCCCGGGAGAAGAGAGTTGCACAGGGAGAGAACTGAGGCCACGGGGACACCCTCTGCGTGGCTCGCAGCAGGGAGGCCAGAGCTGCTGCAGGGACCGATGTTCTCCCAGTTCCGGCTACACACAGCCTCACAGGGAAACTGTTTTCTTTCCTCCCCCAGGAAACATGTCTCTTGCTGTTGAGAGAGCCCAGCTGAGACATGCCTGTGTGGCTCTGACTCCCTTAAAATGGCACCTGTGTTTCATGAGCCTGGCAAAGGCCAGGCGGGGGCCTCGGGCCAGGTCTTTCACTCTGGCACAGACACATGCACCTTCTGGGTCCCCTTGAGACGAGAAAGAGGAAGGCAATGACAGTCAGAGTGGGTGTCCTCTGCCGCTCCGCCACCTGTGCCCCTGTGGGATGGAAGGACAGCTCCCGCCCCGCCCTTCACGGCTGCTGGGGGGGAGGGGTGATGGGGACAACAACAAGGTGCAGACTGAACAAATGAAGGAGTGGAATGGAAAACACATTTTAAAACCTGAATATATAGGTCAAGTAGGTAATTAGTACTTGATATTTAAAATTAGAGGGGTTTTGAGATTCTGATTAAGTTATTTGGAAAGAAACCGATAATAGAAAAAAAATAAATGATAACATGAGGATCTTAAGTGTTCCGCACTAGTTAACTGTACATTCGTACATTCAGATGAATAAACGTGGAGAAATTAAAGAACAGGAAAGGCATGGGAAAGATCTCAATATCTTCAGAGATTTAGCTTTTTTTTTTCCAAAAAAACCAAAATACCACCACAATTAAAAGTTAAACTAAAAGGCATCATCTTTCAAATAAATGTAAAGTGGGCTCATTAAATCATCACAAGCTGCAATTTGAAACAGAATTAATTTACCCCTCACAACTGTCACGTGGCTAACAAATACTAAATTTATAAAAATGAAACCTTTTATCCTCATTATATTCAATGATTTCATGTTTTCCTTTTTAGGATAAATACTAGACAATACCCTAAATAAGGTTAGCATGCTCTCTAGACAGTTAAGAACTAGTCTTTATTTATTTGCTTTACATTAACAGGTCTTGCTGTCTTCTCTGAAACAAT